ATAGAAAAACGTACTGTGTTCTCCGCCATTTGAATGCAAACAAATATTAGTCACAACCTTAAACTAGATATTAGTATAAGAAATGTGAACTCTTTCAATCAAAAACGACAATAAATAGAAGAAAGGGCCAGTTTGGATAATCAGGTGTTTGGAACTAAAAATTCGAAGGATCGCAGAGATGCCCTATTCCAACATATTTCATTGTCATTTCCAGGGGTCTGCATGGGAGGTCCCGATCACGCTTTGCACTAAATTTGCGAATGCAGCAGCCACGATTTATTCTTCGTTTGCTCGTTCAGTCTGGATGCTTAACACGTAGACTTCAAATTATGCAAAATTCAAATGGCAACACGCAAAAGTATGTAAACCATCATCATCATCGGTTGACCCGGTATTACGCTTCATTCATGCAGGCTTTACAATGTACCTATAATGCAAAGATTACATTAAACATTAAGTCATAACGGCCTGACTTCAAATTATGCAAATCTGATACAACAGCTTACGCATTGCGGCATGCAGACCCCATTTTTGAAAGAGTTCTAAAAATAAAAGCCAACTCACGGTCAAGGTCCGATGTTCTCTTGTCTCCTTGATACGTGACAGGTCCATCAGGAACACACACGAGCAACTCCTCCTGGAATAGGACAGGAACACAGGATAGCTGACAGATTCCTCCGGGAATATGGACAGGAACACAGCCAGGTCCCACAGCACACACAGGAACATGGTCAGGTAGTCCCACAGCACACACAGGAACATGGTCAGGTACAGTCTCAGCTTCCCATGAGCTAGGGTGTAAAAGAAATAAACATTCAGAAAAATCTCATGACAAATTTACATACACCAAGGGTACACCAATGTTTACAATATTCACATAACTTTATAAAATTCACAACATTTGTTTTAAAATCTGCTTTGATTGGGGGAAGAGCACATGGAACAATAGTAGTGAGAACACAGCCAAAGGTGAACATAGAATATTCTGACTAAATAACAATCACAGTCACACAAGATATCACATTAAGGTATCACAATCCATTTGTTCTAAAACCTGATTTGGTTGGAGGAAGAGCACATGGGACATTGTTACTGTGGCATAAGAATAGCATGGCCAAAAGTGCACATACATGTGGAATATCACAACCAAACAGCAATCACATGAAAATACATTTCACGTAATACATCTCACACAAGATTTCACAATCCAAATAGCAATTGCATCTCATGTTACATTCATTAAATTACAACTAGGTTAAAGAATATCAGAGAAGACAATACACTTGAAATGCAATTTCCAATGGTTAAAAATTCATGAAAATCAAAAAGCAAATCAAAGTCTATATGCACATAAATAAAACAGTTATTTGGCAATAGTGTAAACAGCGTATCTAAGGTACTCAAGAAGTTAAGCAATACTGTTTTGCAAAATGGCAAACATAAAACATTATGATAACAACTAAAATAACACCAAGTGAGAATCTATCTCAAAATTATTGAACAGCTGCAACTCATGTTGACTTTACCCAGTGGCACATCCATCTGAAAACAGTCCATTTCATGAAATATGGGGACAAACAAAATGTACTTAGTATGTACAGCCATGTAACCATGTAAAAATGAAACCTCAGTACTCAGTGCATGGCTCTAAAACACACAGTACATGATGGATAGAATACTCAAAAAGTTTTACAATAAATCACACATTTTGAACACATGTCATTGACAAGTACTTCATATAATTTATAAATATGGCAATAAAAGATATGGAGAAAAACATGTCATGCCAAAAATGTATTTACAGTATGTTTCAATATCAAATAAACCATCATCATCACATGCAAACATTTGTCAATGAAACTGTCATGATTTGATTTAATCATTGCACACATGCAATTATATCAAGTAATAAGATTCCAACTTATAGAAAGGAGTAAATGTCAAAGTTTTCAATGAAGAAATTGGTTGATGAAAGAAGAGTCATCTTGGCTCTAGTGACTTTGTAACTTGTCTTTAAGTGAATAAGATTTAATCTGTGATCAAAAAGTCATGAAAAGACATCAAGACGCCCCTTCATGTATACAGACCTGCTACAGAGAAGGGATTCAAACACAGCAACACCACCACCATTTCTTGTTCATGATTTGTTCACAAGTTATTTTCCCCAAAACAACTAAAACTATGGTACCTCTGAAAACGTTTCCCTTGGTTTGGAGCTCCTTGATGTATTTCACTTCAGAATCTGGAACAACATTAAATAGGAGCTTCAGTACTCTAAACGTAATCACAACAGCAACAAGGCATACAAATTATTACAATCAAGCTCTAGCAACAAGTTGTCTAAGGTTTACACGACAAATACCAAATAATATTCCAACCTCAGATTTTACAAAAGTCAAGTTCGCGAGTCGATTTTAAATACCGCTCAACAACTGGTTAATATGCATAGAAAAATTCTGACCTGTTCCAGACCAAAACACCACCTCTATATATATATTACATTCCTTTAAGCCTACGGTGGATTCTTGGTGTCTTTTCTACCGACAAATTTAGCTTCCTGAGCACTATTCATATGTGACTTATATCATTATCCCGGCTATGGTCTTTACATACAACTTTGAAACAACTCTGTTACCGCCCCCCTCCCCACTCGAACTTACCGGTCGTCTGTCTCCCCTCCTTCCAAATCTATCACCTTACCCATGTCATCAACCTGAAAACGGCACTACCGTGTCCCTCATGTCTGCTCTTGGCCTCGGAGCACATTTGTTTTACATTGAAACGCACAGAATTTGACCAAAGCACACGGGACAACAACACACCAAGTTTCAAGCAAAGCTGTTAAGGTCAGGGGTCACATGTGTACACAGCGCCCCCAGCGGTTGCTTAACTTAGTGCAGCCTTAACTCGTGGGGGCCAGTTGCCGCAAATTACTTTCGAAATTCTGTCTTTTTGCTTCATTTCACTTAAATGAGATTTATCTACAATGGTCCGGAGAGTTTCAACGACAATTTAAAGTGCAACTTACCCCCAAAGCGGGCATGGCGCGTCTTCCTGGGCCAAATTTTCACCAGCTCGTTCTTTCCTTCCGTGCGCTCTCGCCATCTTGGAACGGCGTGTTTCACGCACCTGAAGGTGACACCTGCAATTATGCATGAGCAAAATTTTAATTCGATAATCCAGTTAAAATAAGAGGCCAATAAACAATCATCACACATGCAGGCCTCAAAACTACGATGATTTAATTTTATCTTGTGCGAAATTCTCCACTTAACTCAACAAATCAAGACATTATGGCAAAAGTACATACTAGGGAACCTCTAATGTTTATCTATGATTAAGAACCGACCAGGACACGAACAAGTTGACCTGCCACTCCACATCCTTAACAAACACCCCCCTCCCCTCCCCGGACGTGGTGCATGTGAACACCTCTGTCTCCCGGTAACACAGCTACCAAACCCACATACAGGAATCATCAGCTGTTTGAGCTCCTGTGATTTTATGTACTCGAGATAAGAATGGCTATTTCAGTGGCTGTTGAAATGACGTGTTTAAGTTACACTGTACAATTGTTGCGCAATAAAGTTATGGTTAAAGAGACAAAAGTCACCATCCTAGTATTATATAAATCATAAACCATGTGTCTATACTTGTTCTATTCGTATATTTATTTTTATTTTATTCACATGGATTTTTGAGCATTGGATAGGAAGCACTTGTTGTGCTTATGTAAATCCGCTGCTCATAAAACATAATACAAATGTTGACATAAAGATGACATAAAGTATAACATAAACATAAAATAAAAGTGGCTGGCGCACCAATACCTATAGCATAACATTAATGAGATTGGTCAAATCTTCCAGAGTGGTGGATATAGTTAAACACAATATCAAAGATACGGCAGTTTGTAGGGTATGGGAGGGAGGTACTGCCTGTAAGAAGTATATTTATCTGAGACTGAGAACAGATCTATTACACATTTACACCTGTTATGCACAGGAACGGGAAGATACCTGATAGAATCTAAATCAAACGGGGTTATCCTTTAGTTAATACACTTAAGGCAGGAAGTAAAGAATTAATGTTTTAACACAGGGACTGCTTATTTCCTAGTGGAGATCAACTAACCTTTGCTCATGTGATGTTTGTACATAGAGATGCAGAAATTACAATTGGAAAGTTTACACATTTTGAGACATTTGATTGCTTTCTGTTTTTTAAAAGCTGTCAAGACTTGATGAGTAATTGCTTTTATTTGGGAAACAGTTTACTAAATTACTATGGAAACGCCATGGAAACGATGCTATTATGACCTGATTGAGCGACAGAAAGTTTGCTGGGGAAGGCACGCGTGCATTTTCTCCAGAAACTTAATGGAGGATTGACACTTTTCTGATAATATTCCTCACTGTGTGACGTCCATTGAATTGGAATATTGAATTTTGAGGCATCACAAGGATGAAGATCTACGAACTTCTTCTCATGCTCGCGGCTGTTGTAACAGGTATATACCTGGCTTCTCGTTAACATTTACCATATACTAGTACCATAGTTTTAACAGAACTTCGCAATTCGTTGTTTTATTTCAAACTCTATATGTAAGTTAAAACTATGTTGGATCGGATGTGAAATTGTAACAAACGATAAATATGCTGCCGATGCAAACACATTATAAGATACTAGTATATGATTCCAGAATGGGGAATGTTCAAATGTGGAAATCAGTATCATAAATAAGACAGTACCGCTTTTGACCAATGATAGTTAGCAATGTCTACACGCGCCACTTATCCATGCATTTAAATTTTAGTAGCCAAATTACGAAAATCTGCGTTATGATTAGACTTCTTGTCTCTCATTCTTTAATTCATGGTCACTTCTTGCTCTATAATGCGGACAATATCTACATAATGAATGGGTCCATTTTCTAGCCACTAACCATCGCTTCACGTAACTTACAAAGCAAATAGCGATGATTAATGTGAATTGTTGTAATGCCTTCTGCAGCTGCCCGGGCTCAGACGTGTGAGTTTGACCTGGGATGGTGCGACTGGACAGACAACAATGGGAATATGACGTGGATTCGATTGTACACAGCTGGTCCACAGTACGGACTTCATGCAATGAACCCCATGTTTCCTGGCAGTGGTCCAGCAGATGATCACACACAGCCTGGTAAATATTTCTCTTTTACATGTGAAAATAAGTTACTTCCTCTTCTAACCACATATTTCCTTTGATCACTCATTATAACAGAAGTCGATATTTTGGCACAAGAGAAGTAATTATAAAGAAATGGACATTTTGATATTCATGCCGATATTGCACATAAACGCTCTAGCAACTTTATCTTATTGGCCATGAATATTATTAGTAAGCCTGTGAATAGAATTGGAAAGATTAGCCTGCATGTTTATACACGATCATTTCGTGTAGTGTGGTTAGAACCCTCATGACGCGTTTTGTGTTTTATTTCTACTATATTTTCTTTTTGACTTGAAGTGGAATACGCTGGCTGGTACGTGATGTCTATGTGTGGAGGCGCAACCCAACCTGGCTATGTAGCCACCCTCACCAGTCCTGACATCATCGGCCCCTGTACGCTGGAGTTCTGGTACACCATGTTCGGCACGGACCTGGACATGTCAGTCTACCTGCTACAGGAGGGACAGAAAACACAGATCTGGCACATGGCGGATGTGAACGAAGACTTCTGGCAGCGCGCTAGTGTCACACTGTCGCCACCCATGGAAGAGGCTTATCAGGTAACAATCATCGTTAAAAAGGAAAATGTAGGTGGAAAACGTGTATCTTACAAGCTGATTTATAAAACATCAAGTACTGCTTTCTGTTTAAAGTCATAATGTATTTTTGTCCACTCCACGTAGGTTGTTTTTGAGTCCATGAGAGGGACCAACTTCTTGTGCAATGTGGCCTTTGATGACGTCAAACTAGCTCCAGGTAGGAAACAATTTCTGTATTCGAGTATAACTTTTGATGCGTGATTTGACACGTTTTGATTTTGTAATGTTATGATCAACACAGTATTGCACATACTGTATCACGGGTTTGTCCCTCTTCCTTATTTCTCCACGAATCAGCTCCGCTACTGAAGTGTGACTTTGAGAGCACCGGTCCATGTGCCCTGAGACAAGACGACAGCGATGTGTTCGACTGGAGATGGCAACAGGGGATGACGGAGACTCGAGAAGATGTCCTAAACAGGAACTTAACCGCCACCGTACCTGATATCCTCACGGGACCGGAGTACGACGTTACTCTGGGGCCAGGGAGAAATGGTACGTGTGGGCATCCGTCCAACCAGTTCGACGGTTTTCGGGAAGAGGGAGGGTTTTGATAATGTTCTGACCTTCAATATAGACGGTTTTCAAAGCCTCTACCACTTGCAAAATAACAACAGGTTCTCCTTGTCTCCATCCAGGTACGTACATGTACGTGGAGTCGTCAATCCAGTCAGCTGGTCACTACGCTCGCCTGTCGTCTACAGAACTCAGCGGACAGTGTCTGGAGTTCTACTTCCACATGCTGGGACGTCATTCTGGTGAGTTACAGCTCCTATGTGGCATGACTACATCTTAGATCCCTTGAAAAGTAGTATTGACTATGTAAATGTGCTGCATGTGTGAGTTCCATGTTGTCATTTTCACCAATGGATCATATGAAACAACATACAGTGTATCAATGGTGTAACTTCTAATGCTGTACCTGTACTACTAGTACTGTCAGTCAGTCTGTACCTGTAGAGCAACGTTAAACCATCACTTGACCATCTTGAACTAATGGTTAATGAATCTGGTTTATGTATAGGTACGTTGAAGGTATACCAGCAGTCTGTGTACGAGAACGACACGACAGAACAGCTGATCTGGGAAGTGTCCGGTAGTCATGGTGACGAGTGGCACAGAGCAGCAGTCAGCCTCAAGATCACCAACAACTTCTATGTACGTGCAGCGTGTATTCATCCATAGGAGAATGTTTCTCTTACACGATTCTATTGAATCGCCTTTTTGCATGAACAATTTTGTTGAGAACTGCAGTACATCCACTACAATTACATAAATACACATTTTACCTTTGAAATTAACTTCCAAAACAAATGCTACACTTGTACTGTATATGCTTTCTCCAAAGGCACGCAGGTAGACTTACTGTACGTAAAATGCAAGTTGAACAGTCAGATACTTCTTGAACGAAAACATACACAAACGGAGATGCCAACGTAGTGCGGTCTTGTGTCAACATTGCTTTTGTAACATGACCTTTCTCTTGCAAACACAGATCCGTTTTGAGGCTGAGGTGGGCGGTTACTACAGTAACATAGCCATCGACGAGGTCAAAACTTTGGATCAACCATGCACATGTAAGTACTACCTATTGTGTTTATACTCATAGCATTAAGACTTACATCGCAAAAATGACTGTATTCTTGCTATAGTCGCGTATGTGTCGCACAAAACTCAACTGAATTGTTACGGAAAATGCTGTCTTAGATCCCTGTCGGCGAACGGTTCTGTCATAGCCCGCTTTAACATTCTACGGCATCAAATCGTGCGTTTACCTACGACGAATATGCCCGAGGCGTAGGGACAGGTCCCTTGCTGACAACTGCTTTAGCTCGTCGCTTTGCCTTCACCTACTTTTTATTGCAAAAGCCGTGTGAATGTCTGCTTATATACGCTTGCTGCTCCACTTGTGCTTGCTCTAGTGGCAGGCGGCTGGGGTGCATGGGGAAACTGGACGGAGTGTGACGCGGAGTGTGACGGCGGGACCCAGTCCAGGGCGGCGTACTGTGACAAACCCTACCCTGTCTTCGGACACTTTTGTGAGGGAGACGACGACGGTGACATGAGGAGGGTAGAAGTCAGGGCCTGTAACACACAGCCGTGTCCCAGTAAGCCTACTGCATGTTTTTGTCAAAGACAAAAGAAATGTCCCGATTAGAATCGCGTCTTGGCCTAGCTTCATTAGGTTTTTTTTTTTTTT